CTAACTAACTACTCTCTCTCTCTCTCTCTCTCTCTCTCTCTCTCACAAAATAGGGAGAATGGGTAAAGGGAGGAAAGAGACCACTTGTACAAATACATGAAAGGGGCAAATGTGGTCTCCGGAACTAATAGGAGACGGAAGAATTTATATGATACTGCATGCTTCATTTGTTTTTTTGCTCATATAAATATTGAGATTGTATACATTCAAACATTTACCTTGTGTACAAATATCATGGCCAGCTATTGGTATATTCTCAACCACTTGATTTCACTTTTAAGGGTTGTGGGTGATTGCTATCTTTTGATGCTAATAATAGAGTGCAGTTTGCATAGGGTTGCAACTTTAAACAATCAGACATTACGTTGATCTTTTAAATGTTCAAAAAAGAAAATAAGATGTACCTCAAAATTTATCTTATGATGTAATTTAGTGTAAAAAGTTCTTAGGATGCCTGTGAATTTATTTTCGTTTGTAATTATAAAATTTTAGACTCTAAAAATAGTTCAAATAAGCACATGAAAATATTGAAAATAGACGGTCTAGATAATGTGTTACAAGATGCAGTGTTTGGGAATAGAAATGTTTTTTTCTTTTCATATTTGTACATCTTGATATCAAGAAGAGGGTTTTTCAACATCAAAACTACTTTTTTTTCATAGATTTTTGAGGTGCATTTTAATTCTACAGTGTAAGACACTTTTTTCAAAGATGGAGGATCTTATTTTGTAATTTTTCATAAAAGTGTACCTTATCTACCTGGGCGAAATTATTTTGTATGAAATATGGAATCAGATGGTTTTAAATAGACCGGAATGGGTCTTATGATTGCATCGGTGACGATATCTTTGGAAATTATACAGAGTGAGGCTAAAATTATTAGAATGGGGTTTTGGTGTGTAAAACAACATGCCTATTCAAATGCGATTTCTTTCTAAAATCCATTTTACCCAAAATTTTGCACTATAATAACCTTGAAAGGCTTTAACTAGAGCGATCATGAATTTGAAAAAGAAAAATTTATATTTTAAACATGCAAAATAAATATTTTAACCTTAAAATAAAAAATAGAGTATTTTAAAATTTTGTTTTTTTGTTTTTATCATTCATTTTATTTCTTCGTGCTATCAACCCTGGGAAGGTTTTCAAGTTGTGAAGTCATCGATGGAAATGTGATTTAGGATGTATGTCGAATCCTAAATTCATATCTAAACTGAATTTTTTGCATTCAGACTCTTGAGTTTGTGAGGTTTGTAAAAGTTGCCCATTTTATACTATAGAAGTAAGACGAACCTCAAAATTTGCCCGAAAGATTTAGTTTGGGTATCGGATATCTTACTATGACTTAAAAATCTATATTCAATTTTAATTATGAAATTCAAATTTTCAAAAAATAAATTTATAAATATTTAAAAATCTTAAAAATAAATGGCTTAACCAACTTATTACAAGATGCACCTATATGTCTCGAGATTGAGATGATCTCTTAGAAGGTTTTCTAACTTAAAAAACTATTTTATGATATGCCCATTAGTTCGTGTAATACAAAGTTAGGACTTCAATTTTTTTACCGTACGGTGAATTACTTCACAACGAACCGGTTTTAGGAGTGAGGGTTCGGTGTAAAATCAGGAGCCTCTGCGAGAATTTGCAGAGAGGTGGAGAGAGAAAAAGGACGAGATAGGTAGAGGTAGAGAGAGAAGAGAAGCTACGCTCAAAACAGACTTGACATTCTAACCAGAAAACAGGGAGCGGCATTCCCCCCCTCAACGCTACCATCTCTCTCTCTAAATCAGGGAGCAGTACCCCCCTCAACGCCACTTCTCTCTCTCTCTCTCTGATCCCCTACGCAATGGGCCCCGGCCCTCACTTTCCATTTCACCTTCTTCTGCGTCTCTCTCTTCATCGAAACTGAATGGCATCATCATTCCCTCTCTTTCTAACCCCCACCCTCCCACTCTCTCTCCTCCTCTTACTCTCTCTCCTCCCCCCATCTCTCCAGCAACCCTCTCCCCCCTCTCGCTCTCCTCCGCCCCCGGTCGACGACTGCCGCTCCATCCTCCTGCAGCCTCCCTCCTCCCGCTGCTCCTTCGCCCGCTCCCACTGCCACCGCTCCTCCTCTCTCTTCAACTACTTCACCCTCCACTTCTGTGCCCTCAATGAAAACCTCTCTCTTTCTATCCCTCTTCTCGCCTCTCTCGTTTTCTTCCACTTCTACTTTCTCATCAAGACTGCAACCCTCCACTTCTCGGCTTTGGTCACAAGGATGTCGTCCATGCTCCGCCTATCGCCGAGCATGGGGGGCGTCACACTCCTCGCCCTTGGGAATGGCGCCCCCGATGTGTTCGCTTCCATGGCGGCATGGCGCTCGGGGCAGGCCAGGACTGGGCTCGGGGCCACACTTAGTGCGGGCATGTTCGTGTCTGGGTTTGTGGTGGGTGTGGTGGCGTTGTACTCTGCGCCTTTCGAGTTGAAGCCCTTCCCTTTTGTGAGGGATGTGTTCTTTTACATGGCGGCAGCCACTGCACTCTTCTTTGTTTACCTGACCGGGAGTGTGTCGCTGTGGCAGGCAACGGGGTTTGTGTTGTTTTACTTTGTGTTTGTGGGGTTTGTATTTTGGATGGACAGGCGTGTTGCAGGTGAGGAAGAGGAGGGGAATGGGGGATTTGGTGGTGGTGGTGAAGTTGAGGATGAGCGGATGGAATGTGGGTTGCCTAAAAGAGTCAATAAATTATTTGATAGGGAGCGTGATTTTGTGATTCGTAGTGGTGGGGAAATTGGGGATCCGGAGATGTGTTCCATGCTTTCTGCAATTCTGAGTAAGGTATGCATTCATGTGGATTTATGGGTTCTCTTTCTTTTTATTACTAATTTGAATTTGTGTTATTCCTTGTACTTGTGTTTTGAGAATTGGAATCGTATTTTTTCTTCTCTCTTTTTATATATTGTTGTGGTTGCTCATTGGAATTTATGGGAACTTAAGTTCCTAGTCATGAACGAAGAATGTGGCTTTGATCATAACCAACAAACCCATTGTTAATTTGTGGAATTTTAGAGTTTCGCCTAAGGGGTGCAACACTAATGTAGAAGTCTCAATCTGATTTTGCTCAATTGTGCTCTTTGTTACTAAATGTGGAGAAGTATTCTAAGTTAACCTACAAGATAGATGCGAAAACCTGTGAAACTAGTCTTCAGTACAACCACCCTGTTTGCTTTACACAACCTAACATCACATATGAATGCAAGGATTTTCACTTATGCTTAATGCACGAGAAGTTAGAGAGGATTATAAGGCTAGTTTTAGAGATCAATTAGACAAATATGGTTTTAAGTCTAACTAATGTAATAAGCAATAATTATCCCATTTTTGATTGACATGATGCACTGAAATCTCAAATCACACAGAAGCATTCCCTTAACATTCAACAAGTCATCTTGACCTATGATGTATGGATAGCTCTATATGCCCAAGTTACTAGTGTTGATTCGGTCTAATACTGGTACTGATATGGGACACTGTAGGGATGTAATGGGGAGATGGTTCAGTCTTTGAAATTCGTCAAGCTTTTGAGTCCCTACCTTACATAGAACTGGATGAAATTGAGGAGGATGTGTAAAATAATGTTATAATACTTACCATTCAAAAAGAAAAAACACAGGTATTAAGTTCAATGAGAAATGTTTGCTTGTGCTCTTGTTTTTTGCAATGTAAAGAACTAAGCAAAGTAAACCTACATAATAGTTGTGAAAATGAGTGAAACTAGTGTTCGGTACAATGGCCCTGTCTACAATTGCAATTGGAAATCCAACATGACAAATGACAGCAAATATTTTAACTTATGCTTAATTCATGAGATCTTAGAATAGGATATATAGTGCTTCAACTAAAACAGTTTTAGAGAGATCGATTAGGCAATGGTAGTTAAGTTTACTAATAAATTGAGTTATAGTTATCCCAGTGTCGATTGACATGAGGCATTGAGATCTCAAATCAATGACAGTAACATTTTCTTGGAATTCTACTAATCATTTTGATGTATCGTGTATAGATACCTCTATGTGCCGAAGATACTGGTGTTGATAGAATCTGATGTGTACCAATACGTGACACTATAGTGGTGGTGACAGAACATGTCAAAAAAAAAAAAGATACCGTAGTGATGTGGTGGGGACACAGTTCAGCCGACGTGCTTGTTACTTTGAAATTCCTCAAGATTTTGAGTCCCTCCTTTACATGGTACTGTATATTATTGAGGATGCTGTGTAAAAGTAATGTTACAAAACTACCATTCAAGAAGAAAAAATAATGTTATAATACTTATTAATCATGATGAGTCCCTACTTTTTTATGTCCTTGTTCATTATCTGGGTCAATTTTCAAGTATAATTAGTATCGTGTACATATAGATGGGAAGTGATCTCATGCAAATCTTACAGTAATATAGTGAAACACACCTTAAAAAACCATGTTAGGAGCAGTTGCTTGACCCTAATTTGTGAACATACATTCAATTCGTTATGATGAAAAATCTCAAAAAAACAAAATTTGGAAAGGTACCATAGAGATTGCTTTTTTTAACCCAACGAACATAGGCCATCAATTTGATGAGATGATTAGAGCTAGGTCTTAGAGGAGTTATTTGTTTATTCCGATTTTTCTCTATGGCCTTATAGACATTAGATGAACAATTCTAAAAAACAAAAAATTAATTTTGAGTTCTTAAAGGCTTAGATCTCAGTGTCCACCAAATGCACGATCTGGATGCATTGTTGCATAGTGACTCATTTTGATCTTTTATATGGTGCAAATTCTTTTGTTTTTCTCTTTGGAGTTGATTGTTGGGATAAAGAGAGTATATGTGCAAAATTTGGTATCATACATATGCTACGAACATGTTTTTTTAAAAGAGCAGTTTCATTATATTATAATATAGTAGTGACATAAATGTAACAGTGACATGTTATAGATATATGGGACATGTTAAAAACGCCTATAGGCGAAATTGAATAGTGCTTTGTCCTGTGTGGTTTTGCCTTAAAAACTGCCACGGATTATATGGGAGCCGTGGCGGTTGCCCGTGTTTTTTTGCGTGAAAAAATACAACGGACCTACTATGTCCGTTGCGGTACCACAATGGACATAGTAGGTCCGTTGTGGTGTTTTAATCCGCGCCGTCCAAAAAAATTGGACAGTGCCAAGCTAATGGGAGAAAACACTGTTTATTTTCACCCATAGGCGTTGTGTAGTGGCTTCCTATATATATATAGAAAAGGCTTCTGTGAGCCAATGGGCTCACAAGAAAAAATGAGCCCAATGGCCCAGATTGAATCTGGGCCGATCTAATGATCACGGATGCCTGATAGTGTTTGAATTTTAATTTTTTTTCTACGAATCCAAATCACTTGAAATTTTAGACGTGTGTTGATAAAAAATAGGTGAATATTTGAAAAATATTTTACATGAAAACAAATGACTAAAATACCCCCGTAAATTTTCGGGGGTATTTTGGTCATTTTTAATTTTGGGAATTATTATTATTATTTTTATATTTTTATTAGGTGCGGCTTGATGAGAAGAACATTCACCTAAAATTTCAAGTGATTTGGATTTGTAGAAAAAAAAAAAAAAATTCAAACACTCTCGACCGTCAGATCGGCCTAGATTCAATTTGGGCTATTGGGCTTATACTATTTTGTGAGCTATGGGGCTCACCCCTGGCATCTTTGTGTATATATATATATATATATATATATGTATATATATATATATATATATATGTATATATACATATATACATATATATATGTATATATAATATATA